CGCAAGATCATCATTGAGACCTGGCAAGTCTTGGTTCGGCTAGGCCACTACAGTACTAGTACCGGGGTCAAGTCGTTCCGCGTTGTCTGAGGTCGTGCCGTAGGCGCGTGTGCATGGGGAGAGTGAGAGAGATCAGTAGTTGAGCACCAGTTTGCAGTCGTGAGATGCCTTTCAAAGGGCAAAGATGTGGGCTTAAGCATATTTGGAAGCGGTCAAACATGTCAGCTACATGGCGCGACGTAGAAGGTGGTAGAGACCGATAATTACAGGGTCCAAATAGACCTGCGTGGAACCTCAACATATTCTCTGCAGTTTAATAGTTTAGCTTTCTAGGCATCTTGGATTTCAAGCGTTACTAATCCTGTCATAGGCTCGAGCTTGCTCAGTACCCGACATATCCAAAGCATTTCCAGGTGAAATATGCTATGGTGCTCTTCAGATGCAATCATCTTCAGCCTGAAAGCTTAGGCTTCCCTCGCATAAGCAGCAAGCAAGTAATGACATCAATTGCGCAAGTTGTTGTCAGTGTTGGGGTTCACGTTCCCAACAGTATTTACTATTTACTGTCAATCCAAAATAAGAAAGCAACGAAATATTGTGAAACATCCGCAGCGCAATATCAAACATCTTTTGCAAGGTTGGCAATATCAGAACTAGATCTTGATCAACTCTGCTTCAACTGCATATAACTAGCATACTGGGGAGGTCCGACATGGCATTCTAGATTCTAGATATCTTCATTACTGTTTGTATAACTTGCAAGCGCGTGTGCATGGAGATTCTGATCTGTGGCCATAGCATCGTGAATATCTTAACTCTCGTTTTTTCTGAGAGCGTGACGAATGTTTTTTTCTGTGGAGGTGGTTGTCTAGGAGGATGGCTCGATGTTTGATTGATAGGATGGCATGAGGTTGATTGAAAGGATGATGTGACAAGGTCATTGCACAGTCGTCGTGACGTATCGGATGAGACGCGAGGTTGAATAGGGTTCCCTGAGGTTAGCTCTGACGTGAGGGTTTTCGTATGGTTTTCGTGAGTCATGAGGTTGTGGCTCTAAAAGAATGATGTTAATATGTGTAGCTGAAAAGCACGGGGCACAGGGACGGCTGCATTTCAAAAGTGTGCTCCCGTCCCGTGTGAAGCGCTTTCTGAATTTTGGAACCCTTTCAATTTTGGAACCAGCTCAGGGGACCCGTCGTGTCGCGACGCTCCCGTGGAGCGTCCCCCGAAATCTGCTCCGAATGAGAACGCTCTGAATCTAAGTGTTCGTGGCGTGTCGTGATGCTGGTGCATGGAGTGTCCTCAGAATTTTGCTTGGAATCGACAACCTTCTCAGTGTTCGCGACGTGTCAGGAACCCCCGCCAGCATCCTCACAACCCAGCCTTCTGACGTTCACGGTTCTCGACCGATAGGACGGCTTGATGTTTGATTGAGTCATGTGAATGACATGATGTGATGAGTTTGTTGTACCACGGTTCTCGTGAGGTATCGGATGGGATGTGAGGTTGATGGCGTGATGTGAGGTTTTCGCAAGGCTTTCGTGAGGTTAGCTTTTACTAAATATGTTTCTATATCTAAGAAGTGTATCGCAGATAACAACATGGATGAACCGAGTGATGGATGGGTGCATGGACATGGAGACGCGAAGCTGATGAAATCACGTTAGATGGCGCGGCGCTGACTACCTCACCGCTCCAAACGCTTTCAGGACACTCGTTCTTTGGTTTGAACTTGCTAGCGCATGTGCTGGTGGATTCTCATCCGCGGCCATAGCGCTGCGAATATCTTCGTTACTGTTTCTGTAGTTTGCCGGCGCCTGTGCTTGAGGGTTCTCATGTGCGGCCGCAGCGCTCAAATGTCTGCATTACCGGGTTTTGTGTCCTGCAAGCGCATGTACTTGCACAGTCTCATCTACGGCCATTGGGCTGAATATTTCCATTGCTGTTGTTGTAACCTGCAAGCTAGCGTACTTCGGATTTCTCATCTATTTGCCATAGCACTGTGAATATCGTCATTATTGATTTCGTAACTTGCAAGTAGGTATACTGTTGGTATCTGGGGTTCTCATTTACAGCCATAGCCCTGCGATCATCTTCATCGGGCTACTTTATGACTTGCAAGCGCTGAATAGATATATTACTGTTTAAAGTAACGTGCAGACGCTGCAGTCTCTGTGTGTGTACATAGCGTTTCATACTTCGTGACTTTAGGCGGGTGGCCGGGCATCGTGCTAATCTAGCGTGGGCATGCGGAGGCGTGATGTCACGGCGCTTTGGGCAACTTAATCCGACAGCTTGTAGAACTTGGATACCTTGACAGACCTCAGCTGAGGACACATACGGCGGTTGGGGAGCCCATGGCGGTGGTGCCTTCTCAGGCAAAGACCCGACCAAGGTGGACCGATCAGCGGCCTACATCTGCCGGCAGATGGCCAAGTCAGTGGTCAACAGTGGCTTGAGCGCGCGCTGCCTGGTGCAGCTGTCCTATGCCATTGGTGTGGCCAAGCCCCTGTCTCTCTTCGTGGAGACTTACGGCAGCGAGAAGGGAAGCCTTAGTGTTGACGACATCACTAATGTGCCTGTGCTCAGCTTGTATAGTCTTGGCTAGGAGTTGTTGTGAGAACTTGCGGGTTCTAGCAAAAAGTATTCACAATCAAGAGTCCCCCCAAGGTGCTCAAGATCGAGTTCGACTGCCGACCCG